ATATTTCATCTTCCCATTTTATTTAATATTTAAATACATAACCTCTCTGTCACATAAAAATTGACTGCAACATACAAACTGTTCAGTAGGCATGGATTGCAAATGAGAGATTATGAGGCAATAAGACTGGGCGTGGGCGTGCTTGGATACAAATATCCGTAGAAAACGAATTTTTTTTGTTAATCAGAGTTAATTTTGAAAAAGTTGGTATGGTTAGTTAGTGGATTTTGAATTTATAGTAAACTAATTTTTTTTTTTTAAAATAACAAAATTAAATTTAATCTGATGTAAAAGTAGGAGAAAAATGATGTGAAGTGATAGTTAGTTAAAATTATGTGAGTGGTGAATAATGAATTAAAGTTGATGTGATGTGTAAGAATGGTTGTTTGGTTTTATTTAATTATATTGATAATATTGAATATAGTGGGTTCGATTAAAGTTGAGTTAGATTTTAAGTATGAATTGAAAATTTTTTTAAACAAACACCCTCTAAGTATTGCCTTTATTATGATGTATCCCGTTCATTTGATTTAATTACAGTACATAATTTATTGCATACTCCCTCCTAGTTTTAATAAGTGTCGTTTTGAGAAGTTCAATAATTAAGAATCTTTTTTTTTTTTTTTACTAATTATAACCCTCATTAATCTATATATATATATAATTACTGGTTGTTAGCATTTAATAAAACTATTTAATTTTACCTATGTGGCAATATAACTATTTCCCTCCAAAAGCCGTTATTTTTGGTTTATTTAACCTTTCGTTTAATTATTACATAATCAACACATTAATCACTTCAAAATTACAAAAATCATTTTAAACTTTTGATTACTGATAGTTGACCATATAATGTGTTGACCGTGTAATGTAATTAGATGTTATTATTGTGGTTACATTTAATTTTTTTTTTTGGAAAATAAAAAATATATTTGAAATTCTTAAATAAATAATTAAAAAAATACATACCAAAATACACGTTTCATCCAATCTGATAAACGCAATTTTAAAAAATAATTATTCCAGTTCTTTTAATTGTAAATTTGACCTATAAAAAAAAGTGAAAGAGGTTGTCATTAATCATTATATGGATACAAATAACTCACAATACTGTATTTACATCTGTGCAAATGCACATGGTCGAATACTAGTGAGGATAAAGATGAATGTTTTGAGAAAAGATGAAGAGTGAATATGAAAAGACGTAGTGTATTTATTAGCTAGATGAAGGTAATAATAAAAAAATATGTACAAAAGATCCAAAACGTCATTTATTTGGTTAATTGTTGATAAAGCCAAAATGACATTTAAAAAAAATAGGAGGTAGTACAAAATTTTTAAAAAAAGGCATATCATAAATGCAGAAAAAGGGTGCATACATTAATGTACTCCCATTAGCTAGCAAAATTCAACAGTATTAATTTATGCCTTTTTGAGTAAATGAATTTCTGAAGTAATCACGACCAAAATTTAACCTCTTGAATCTCGATAAATCCTATTTGCTCGTTTTTTTTCTCCTCATGAACTGATCCTTAGATTTATTAAACTGAATAAAAGCAGCATATCCATATTTCGAATGGTAAATATGTAGAGAGTCATAGCTCAAAAACTTTACCTCATCTCTTATCTCTGGAACCCTGAAGGCCTTGTCAATAATATCTGGAATAGGCAAAATTTTCCATTTTGGGATCAGACTACTGATCCTGAGACCGAATTTGATCACCAATGGATGTGGCTTCATCTCATCAGAAATCTGCATCAAAGTTAATACGACATAACAAAATAAAATAAAATAGAATAATAAAATGGAAATTACATCACTGTGCGTAAAAGAATTCTGGACAACTACAATCCTATCTTTTGAAATAGAGATAAAAATTCTTTTGAAACGGTAACATATATAATTGGACCTAACATGTTTATGATTAGGCTCTCGATAAAAGGATATCTTACCCTCTTAGCATTTCAATTCGATGCAAACACACAAGAAAATTGGAAATAACGATTCAATTTTACATGCTATTTTGTTAAAAAGAAATACATACAGTAAAATTAAATTTATATCTTAAAATATTGGTTTATAAAAATTGGTGTAAATGCAACTTCACATAGAAACTCTAAGTAGTGTTTGGCAAACCTTGCACATAGGTGCTACCAGCAGAGCCATATCCCAATAATCGGGCTTTTTTTCTGTGCAGAAGTAGAACTACAGCACCTCTCCCATTGATTCCCCCATAATAATCCTCTTCTTTTTCTTGTTTTCTTCCTTCTCTGCATTAAAATCAACTAACTACTAAGTTTGTACAGAGTGGAAAAAATCAAACTCACAACCTAGAGCATCTCCAATGGTTATTCTATACTTCTATTTTATTGCCACATGGCACAAACAATCCTATATGGCATGAAAAATGTCTAGAAGGCCTTCTAGATGTAGTAACCATTCTAGAATACTTGTATTATTTATTATATATTGTTTATTCATTTTTTTTTCTCTTCTTCATCCAATTAAAAATTCCACATCACAAATGACACCACAATTCACACTAACCATTGGAGACATAATTTTTTTATTTCCTTTCTTCATGCCATCCAACACAAAATGGATAATGTTCCATTGGAGATGCTCCTAGTTACATATATTATACAAGCTGGGAATTATAGTAATCTTGAGCATTTCAAAAGTTAACAAACTAAATTCCAATGTATATTACCTTCAGTTTACCCTTATGTAGAAAATTCAGAACCTCTCCCAAAATTACTATTATCCTCTTAACATATATATGTTTATCGTATACAAAACAATGGACCTATTGAAAGGGTGTCGAGCTGAAGAAAATAACCCACTTTTTTTTTTAGTAAAGAACAGTAACGGAAGGAATGGGCATTCAATGTATATTTGTAACACGTCTACATATTATTTGCAATTTTTTAACATATTAACTGAATAACACCTCTATTTGCATGAATTCAAACGTTCATTTGAAAAGCAAGAACCATATATTTGGTGGATTTTAAAAATCGAAATTGTAAGTTCCAACAAAATGGAAAATTTACCACAAACGCTGCTGAAGTGATAACAAAAGTCATTAACAAGATCATCAAAGCTGGGGAAGTAACACTGAAGCCCATCCGACTTCCCATGGCCTTCATAGTCGATGCCATAAACCGCATAACCCGCCTTTGAAAGCCGAATAGCACAATTTGTTTATTGTAATATATTTAGATGTACATTCAACTTCTCCTTAGAATTTTCACATAACACATAAATTATTAGAAATTAATGTGTGGTGCATGATCATATTACGTGTTACGTACCTCTCATAGTAACACTGCATTCCATGGAATATCCATGGCACAGGAAGATTAGTCCTTTGGGCTGCGAGCTTACAGGCAACCAGCTGCAGGTAAAAAGCTTGGTTCCTCTTGAATTCAATATGAATTTCTGGAGTTAAAAAAAAATAAAGGAGAAGTTCTTACTTAGTTAGATTAGTTAATATTTGTCCCCGTAAAGTATCTTTAGGAAAGTGAAAGTTATTATCATTAGAGATTATGTTACCTCTTCATATTGAAAGCCGGTTATCTCAGATTCCTGCATGATTTAAGAAATTAGAAGTGCACACGGCCAAACAAAGTCTATAAAACAAATTGGACTGTAGATGTCATAGGATACACATTACAGGAACAAATTCCCCGTTCATAACATATATGATGAAGGCAAAGAAAGCAGTCACGTGGTGTAATTCTGATGAAATTCTTTCGACAGGTTATGTAACTTTGTAAGAGAGAATTACATATCAATGAAAATGTGTGGGCGAATCATGTTAATATTGTAGTGAGTGTTTTTGAAGTTAATGGACTACATAGAGTGATTAAGTTTTGCACGGCAGGCAGGCCTATTCCTATAAAATTCTACCAGAAAGAATTATAATCAAATATCTCCATTGCCGCTTAATTACTACTGACTTCTAGCATCTTAATTAACAAATTGTAGAGTCACCATGAGTGAAATAAATCAAGTTGATCGGTTTGTGATCAACATTTCTCTTCTCTATACACATTTACCAGTTTATTAATACAAAGTTATCTTCATCCACATTTTTTTTTTTTTTTAGCATATACAATTTACATTATTTTTCAACATGCCTATTTTACAAGCTATGAACAGATTACTGGTGCCAATCACTTTAATGGGCAGAGCAGTGCATAAAATTTCTCCTTTTCCATGAGAACAAGAAGGAAATTTACATATGACAACCAGGAAACAGAAAGACCAAACACAAAAATATACCTTTTTCAAGTGACATCGGACGCCATTGGATCCCAGAGCAAAGTAGCGAGCAACAGAAGATTAGGCACAACAATCCCTATCAAAGGGTTCACCTTAATCCCCAGCCTCTCCCTCCTCAACCTCCGCCGCACGTACCTTATCCTATCCTCCTCTCCCCACCGCGCCTCCTCCAAACCCCTCGCCGGAACGAGCGGCGGCGGCAGCTGGTACGGGCATTTAGACCTCCACGAGGTCTCGGAAAGCCCGAACTTTGAGGCTTTCTTCAGAAACCGGAGGAAGGCCCACTTCACGAGCGGCAATGGGCCGGCGGGGGATCGGCGGCAGAGGAGCGGCGGGTAGTCCCAGTGGAGGTAGCAGGGGATTTGGGAGGCTATGAAGAGCTGGGAGTGGAGGGGCGGCGAGGCTGTTGGGGTGGTGAGGATGTGGGTCAAGGCGTGGATCTTTTGATCCCAGCTCGTGTTATCCATGGCCTTTGGAGATTTTTGATCCAGAATGTGGCGAGGTAGATGAAGCGATATGTGATATTTGGATTTTGGATTATCTTATTCATAGAGAAAAAAACAGAAAAGAAAAACAAAATGAAAACAAAATATCCAATTGTAGTATTTTTTTTAATTATTATTATTGCGGTCCCAAAATTATATTTTTAAGCCCGTTGGTTTAACGTCATAATAATTTTAGTTCTAATATCCTAACATATCGCATCTTGATCATGTGATTTAATATGTTGCTGCAATTTCAGTCATTTGATGACTGAAATTACAACAAATTTTTAAATTCACAGATTATCGATCAGAAATTTAAGTTCTGCTATTTAAAATTTTATTGCAATTTCAGTCATGTTATTCAAAATTTTATTACAAAAGGCGACAAGTTAGAATCTTGGGAATAAAATTGTTAGGGCGTTAAACCAGTAAGACTAAAAATGTATTTTTGTCGCCCAAGAACTAGAAAAAGTGGGCGAATTTACGTAACTACTTGATATTAAAAAAATATACTATAAAAAAACTAACCTCACATTAGATTACTTTTATGAAATTACAAACTACATTTGTATTAATACGTGAAAGATGAATATAACTACTACCATGAAGGGCACCATGAAAGAAGGGAAAAGCCCATATGAAGCCCAAATAGGGTTCCATCCCAAAACCAATTGGTGGAAGGAGGAGTAACCCATTAGTCTTATAAGGTGGGTCTATTTTCCATATATAAACGATGTGGGACAACACTCAAGTGATATTCTAACATGTCCCCTCACTTGTGAGTCATTCGAAAGCCCAAACCCAACTAGGCTGGGTGCCCCAAGCCCTACTACAAACAAGCTCTCATAAACGGGTACGTGGGGGATAAACAATGGGTACGTCATCACACAGTCCAAGATAGAACCGGCTCTGATACCATGACAGAAACTGGGAGAAAATTGGTGCTGGCCCACTACCATGAAGGACACCATGAAAGAAGGGAAAAGCCCATATGAAGCCCAAATGGGGTTCCATCTCAAAACCAATTGGTGGAAGGAGGAGTAGCCCATTAGTCTTATAAGGTGGGTTGTTAGAATATCACTTGTGAGTTGTCCCACATCGTTCATATATGGAAAATAGACCCAGAGGTCAACTTTCTTTTGAAACAATAAATATTATTTAACTAATAAATATTATTTAACTTTCTTTTGAAACAATAAATAAAACTAGCACAATATGTAATCCCATTCATCTATCTCATGGCATGGAGTCGTTGCATAATATGTAATCCCACTCATGAATTCTGTGTGTTATGGCTATACGATCATATAAACCTTTTATTGAAGGTCATTTAAAAAGTTTATAACATTCATTGCTTAGAATACGAACAAGTTTCATCCGGGAATGTATACTATTTACGATGATGAAGTAATCTAAAACTAACCCAGTATGATTACACTAAAAACATGCTTAAATTTTTTATGGAGTCAGTACCTATTCAGGATTAATAGTGGACAACAAACACACTCCATCTCCTTGCGCACATGCTGATGGAACTAATAAAATGTTCAACGCTTATGGAATACTGAAAATGAAATACATTTACTGGTCTACAGATGTCCAATTATCATCCAAAAATGGCATCATGATTCCACACAATCAGCACCAAGATCAAACAAGAGATAAATAATGGTACAACGTAACAAAACACACAGCAAATCAGCACAACTTTTATCCTCACATTGCATCTCGTGCTGCAATCCTACATGTTATCGCGTCTGATAATGACGAAATCCCTAGTTCGACTGCAGATATCTTGTAGTGCTGTTGGGTGCAAAATAAAACGCCAATTACTAATTTAAACCGCAAAGGACGCAACAAAGTACAACATAACAAATGGAGATAATTTCAAGAACTAACACAAAAATTGGATTTAATCATAGAGATAAACTGAGCCGGATCTTATGTATCATAAGGGATTTGCCTTTAACTATACTAAACAGAGACACAATCTTCAATGCATAAAAATTGACACCAAGTTTTAATTTAACGGTAAACACGTCCTTGAGAATGCGATTTGCAAAATGAAAACAATATCAAGTGGGTGACTATTAAAACTGTGAAAATTTCACATATAGCTGGGTCTTTTCCTAAATTATATAAAACACGATTAGTATAATGGAATGAAATTTGGTAGGAATAAAATGAGTTGAAGAATGGAATGATTATGGGAAATGAATGAAACAAGTTTTGTCATTGACGCGTTTGGTATGCCGAAGCAATAAGACCTGAATTGAATTGAATGATATTATCATTCTTTATTATCATTTATTACTATTTTATAGAAAAAAATAATATTTATATTAATGTTATTTTTTTTATTCAGGATATAATATAATTATTTTATTTCTTAAAACATATAAATTATATAATAAATTTTGAATTGTGTATTTATATACATATTAACTAATACAAATATATAATTACATACCCAATAAGTATATGTTGCCAAATATAATTTTTTATATTCTAATTCAATTTATGAATAAATATATAATAAATATGATGTATAAAAATAAAATAATATATTTTTTAATTATATATAAATGCTTTTTTTAGTTTTATTTTTATATAAGTATTTAATATATCTAATTAAACAATAAATAAAAGTAATTTTTCAAATTTTTTATTTGTATTTTATTTTTTAAAATAATTTTATTTAATATATTTTAATCATGATTTATAATATATATTATATATTTATTTTCTATCATTATTGTTAATTTTATTTTTTAAAAAATTGATTCCTACAAACATTGGAATGAGAAAACTTTCCATTAACTATAAAATGGCTAATTCCATGGAGATGGTTTTGCCATTGCCATTGGAATGGTCATTCCTTTCCAAAAAATATACCAATCATGAGATAACGAATGAGTAAGGGAATGATAATTCTATTCCCATGTCATTCCTTCATACCAATCATGCCGTAAGGTTTTTGTTGTAATTAACTATGCAATAAAGATTGGTTTAATAAATCAACAAACCTTGTCTATCTGGGTTTGATCCGCTCGCCCTTCCAATTCCTCCAAACCAATTTCAATTCCCTTGACAATTCCTTTCACGACTGTCATCTGGAAATAAGAACTTGAAATTGTTTGCCATTTTTTCTATGCAACAAGCAAAAGAGAAGGATCCAAAATCAACAAAAGACAAGCAACAAGTACATGGTACACGATCTCACCTCATCAACTGAAGCACCAAAACGAGCCACGAGAACATAACTTGTGTTGTCAGAGATGCCGCATCTTTTTAGCGATTCTGATATCTTGTAAAGAAAAAAACCAAAAAATAAAAAAAATAAAAAAATGAAAGGTGTACTTTCAAGAAATGCTGACAAACACAATAAATTAGAGGCAAAGCATTTCTTACATGTTTAGAACCAGAGTAATTGTAAACGAGCTCAGAATGAAGAGTGCGTGTGGTCAACGACTCTCGTGATTTAGCTACAAGAGTCTTATGTGCAGCAGCAAGAAGTGGGAAAGTATCTGGTATCTATCTCAATACACAGCAAATAAATAATATGATACAATAGCGTATAATAATAAAAAATACTGTAACTTTTACGAGCGCCTGTACTTACTAATGAAGCATTGAGAAACGCTACTTCGGGTTCCAGAGTTCCTGCTTGCATCAAATCCAGAAGCTCTCTGCATAAAACATGATTTAGATGTAAAGATTCCTTATCAAGAAATAAGTAGTACCACTTTTCTTTTACAAAGGAATTCATTACAAGAAACAGGTTGTCACAGCACAATATGGGCGACGGGGATACATATAAAAAGGCATCACACAAATTTTAATTATAGGCAAATACTTTATTTCTTTAATTCCCATACTTCAAAATAATCTTGAACCATTAACGATTTAAGAAATCAAACACGAAAAGTACCACAAAAAAACTAAACTACAGTAAGCTTCGACATCCACAGAACTCGTTATTTATACTTTTAATATCTTAAAAGCAATTTAAGCAAGAAGCCTAATTCGTGAAAGGAGAAGAAATTGACAATGTAGATGCAATAAGAAAGTTCAGTAATTGGAGAAAAAACCATACTTGGAGTTGGTGACATCGATGAAGAGAGCAAGAGAAAGAGTGGTACCACCGACCTCGAATGTCTTCATAACTGTTTTCACACAATTAGAAGAAAAAGATACAAGATAATTCTAGAAATGTGGAGAGATCAGCTATTTAATTCTGGAACAATATATTGTTATAAATAACAAGATTTCCTTTTTACCAAATATCATGAAACAAAAACTATCCATTGTGAGTATGTGGTAACACACAGGTTACAGGGGTTCTTCGCATTAGAGCAGCATAGTATCGTTAATACACAAAGAAGGAGAACATATAAGGAAATTTAGTTATAAGTTCTCAGCTCACTTATAACCTATCAGCTAGATAGCTAGCTTCTGATAGCTTTTTAAGCTAATTTACCTAACATACCCTTAGAGCATCTCTAATGCTAGAACTCTGATGGTATATAATTTTTCTAACACATGGGAATCAATGAATGGAATGTTAAACCATGTAGGATGAGTATCAAGAGAATAAAACTTTGGTCCAAATAACTGCCTCTAATGCATTCATTCGATATGTAATCTATTGCGTGAAACCTGTTTTCTTTAATTATAAATAATCCAAAAAGTTAACATACAATATTGTTATTAGACTGTCGCCTCCCATATTTATTGTTGTGCTCCAAAATGCAAAAAGCAAAATAAATTTCAGCTGTACTACCGCTATCAAATGGACAGAAAACAAGTATGGTATTTGTATTTTAAGCATAACTTTTAATAGAAAATAGGTATTGAACTAGTTCTTGCTCCTAGAAAGCTACAAGGGACATATCATATCGACAACTTTGTTGAAGACTCGGAACACAAACGAGTATTTTAGAGAAGTGTAAAAGGTTGAAAATAATACGCTAAGTTGCTATGGAACTGGATAAATACCATCATGCACAGCTTGTGTATTTTAAACATAACTTTTAGCTGAGCCTAGGTAATCGATTGATTCTGAAAAATATTAAAAGAACAAAAACAGAACTACAATTCTTGTAGAGTCTTGAGCCTCTTACGAGCAGGTTAGGAAGATAAAAATGGTTCAAGGCTCAGTAGGTAAACGTTTCTGCCAATTTGATATAAAGCAGCTACGCAAGGTGTTAGAACTTTGGGCATAATGTTTTCTAGAGAATAGGTATTGAGGCAATTCTTGTCCCTAAACATCAGGAAGAGACATATCTACAACTTCTGTGAAGATAGTTAAAACAGAAAAGAACTTTAGGTAAATGAAAATCACTCATAAATATGGATACAGCATACAGTATACGGCAGAAAACAGCATGCACATTGATCGTATTTCGACCATAACTTTTTATATGAAATTGATAATTAGACATGTCAAAACGGGCCGGCGGGGCGGGCCAGCCCGCAGCCCGCCGTCCTGGCGGGTCTACAATATGCCAGCCCGGCCCACCCCCGCCACGGGCCGCGGGCTAAGCGGGCTGGCCCGTCCCAAAAAAGAGAGAAAAAAAAAAGCATCAACAATTCAACTGTCCTCGTCTTCTTCCTCGTTCTTCATGTCCTCTCCGTCTTCCCCAAATGAAAATAACATCCATCCATAAGAAATATGAAACACCTAAATAACATCCATCCCTAAAAAATCTGAAGCACCTAAATAACATTCATCCCTAAAAAAATTTGATGCGCCTAACTCTCACCCTGCTCAAGGAATTGGGAAACAGTGACAAGCCACCGCTGCCGCAAACCACTTTAGAATCAGACTCACCAAGCGGATATCCACGGAGCCACGTATCGCTCCTACGGGAAGAACAATCAGTCGCTTCCCCAAAAATCAAAAGTAAAGTGAAATTAGGGCTGGAGAAAGAGAATTGGAGATGGAGGGTTGATGAGAAATTGAGAATTGTGAATGTCCACTGTTCAGCCCCTTTCTCGATTCCTCAAAATAAAGTGAAAATGGGCCTTTTCATTTGTTTATCTATTGGGCTTCAGGCTGATTTTATATTTTGTATTGGGCTAAATAGGACATATATATGTATGTTTAAAAACAACGGGCCAGCCCGCGGCCCGCCCCGATATAGCCCGCGGCCCGCGTAGGCTGGCCCGTTTAGGCCCGCTCCTTAGCGGGCCTCTAAAATCCCAGCCCAGCCCCCTCTTTCGGCGGGGCGGGGCGGGCCGGGCCGCGGGCCTCAGCCCGTTTTGACAAGTCTATTGATAATAGAGTAGTTCTTGTGTATTATAGAAAGATAAAAGGTTGAACTTCAAGTTACGTAAAGAGTTCAAAACCAGATGACTAAAGTTCAAGGGTCAAAACAGCATACAATCATACGGATAGTACACAGTGATATTTTTTTACAGCAACTCCACAAAACACAATTAAGTCCGAAAGATGATTCATCCCCAAAAGAACACCTAAGAACTTGTATACATAGTTTAAAATGGCAACGCCATGGCGATGCCTCGAGGCGAGGGCTACATCGCCTCGCCACTGCCTGAGGCCACCCTGTTCGCGAGGCGCTCGTTTCAAGTCTCCTCGGCTCGCCTTTTCACGTGGCGAGAGGCGCGCCTCCACACCTTTAAGAGAAATTAAAGGCGCAATCTATTTTTTTTTTTCAAATAAAAAAGAGAATAAAATTAAAAGGCTCTTTCTTCACTTCATCCCCCAGACCCATGAACTGAAACTACAGTTTTAGGCTGAGAATACGAAAGCTGAAGGTGAAAAATCCCTAAATGGCTTCTCCCCAAACTAGGGTTTCTGCGAAAGAACTTCTTAGGCTTCTCATATTTGAAAATTGTAGAAATCCACAGCTGATCCATCCATTTCTGGCCTCCTCTGAACTCTGGCTACCATCTCGCCGCCGAGATGGTCGGCGATGCATGTTTTTCCCTTTCATTTCCTTCTCCCTTTTCTCTGTTTTCCTGTTCTACCTTCTCTCTTTTTCTTCTCTCTTCAATTTTGGTCAATAGTCAAAGGTGAAAGGGTGCAACATCTTTATTTCATTTACTTTACACTTTGTATTTACCTCTTTAATATTTTTCTATTTTATGTTACTACATAGTGTAAATTCAATATTTTTTTGTAATGCTACTAGTATTCACATTTAAGTTTTAGATGCTTTTAGTAATTACAACCAATTAAATTTATATAATTTTCTTTGAGTATATTTAAGGTTATTTTTGGCACTTAAACGTAAATATATGATATTACTATCTATATAAATATATTTTTTAAGCTTTGATGGCTTGTGTTGCCGAGGCCTCGCCATTTAAAACTATGCTTGTATACTTACCTATTTTCACCCCAAGATTAAAAAATCCACACACGGAGCACATACTATACACACAAACGGTACACACACCTCACTCAACCGAAATTCAGAATAACCAAAATGGTCCTAGATACGAGAGCTTTCACATGGTATAAAAGTTAGCCAAAAGATCGGCTACGGGGCTCGCCGGCCTGTAGCCATTCGTGGCCCCATTCCAATTCCTAAGGCATCAGTTCACAAAATTGTTTAGGTATTTGGAATCTACATATCAAGACGAACAAATTGATATATAAATTATAAAGACTTACCGGCGAGACGACGCCCGTGCTGTAGTCGGCGGTGCGCGGCGTTTGGCAAGGTAGAAAACAGTGTGAATGTCTCATGCGCTCAATAGTTCTTTTTTGGGCGGAATTATTGCTCAATTGTTTGGTTTTTTTTGGTTCTATAGGTTGTGACTTTAAAATTAAAGAAAAAATTACCACATGCACTCGTAATTGACTTTAGAAAATCAAAGAAGATTTATAGAAATAATACACTTAGTAAAAGTGCATGTGGTAATTTTTTCTTTAATTTTAAAGGCACAACCTATAGGCCCAAAAAAAAATCAAACAATTGAGCAATAATTCGGCCTAAAAAAGAACTATTGAGCGCATGAGACATTCACACTGTTTTCTACCTTACCAAACGCCGTGCACCGCCGACTACAGCACGGGCGTCGTCTCGCCGGTAAGTCTTAATAATTTAAATATTAATTTGTTCGTCTTGATATGTAGATTCCAAATACCTAAACAATTTTGTGAACCGATGCATTAGGAATTGGAATGGGGCCACGAATGGCCACAGGCCGACGATCCCCGTAGCCAATCTTTGGACTATCGGAATTTTGTAACTTTTATACCATGTGAAAGCTCTCGTATCTAGGACCATTTCGGTTATTCTGAATTTCAATTTTGGTTGACTGAGGTGTGTACCGTATGTGTAAATAGTATGTGCTTTGTGTGCTCCGTGTGTGGATTTTTTAATCTTGGGGTGAAAATAGATAAGTATACAAGCTCTTGGGTGTTCTTTTGGGGATTGAATCATCATTCGGACTTAATTGTGTTTTGTGGAGTTGCTGTAAAAAAAATATCACTGTGTACTATCCGTAGGATTGTATTCTGTTTTGAACAGAGCGCATGGGCACAACTCGGTCGAACTCGGTGCACGGGCACGCACTCGGCGGCTCGGCTCCAACGAACGGATGAGAATACGACACGTGTGCGGAACGAAGATACGCATTGAGTATGGTCCCATCAGCAACTATCCGGCCGATCGACCACGTCTCGACACCCAAAGACTCATTTATAATTCTACAACGTCTAAAGTTGTTTAATGGTATTAAGGTTCGGACGATTAAATCTCGGCTTTAAAATTTACCCGGTTATCCGAACCAAATAAAACCTAACTCATTTTAAGCCGATATTTAAAACTCACGTTCTATGTGATTTATTAGGATTTTAGATCCAATAACTGCAGCTAAAATCACAACCGGCTATTTTCTAAAATATCGCATTATTCGGCTAAAGTCCCAATTTTTAATCTATACCAAACGACATCCAAAATTCACGAAATTTAAAACATAACATCCTCATCATGTACATACTTCATGGTCCAAATTCAACCTACAACTCACTCAACTATAAACGGGCATTAACCGATCAAATACGCAAATACCCGTTCGTCTATCAAACGAACTCCAAATATCATCAAATTTGCACCTAAGCCTCAAGAAATTTTTTTATGATTTATCAAATTTAACTTATCATTTTACCACTTTTATTTTAAGAGATCAAAAAATCGATCTTTCTAAGCTCGTAATATCTAATTCAAAAATCACTCAATCCTCAAATCAATCATTTTATATCATCTCATTGAACATATCTAAGCAATTGGAGTCGGGTTCAAGCCAAAATACCTTAAATCGGCTAGAATCGCAAAAATCAGAAAGAGATCTAGTTAGGAATAGATCGGAAACGGGTCGGGGCTAGTCACCGGATCTAGGCTGAGTCGGATCCGGCGGGGAGGACCTCGGTCGTGGTCGGGTCTGGTCTGAATGGCTCATCGCTGCTCTGTCGTGGGTGGCGCGTCGCGGCGGTTTTCGGTGAAAGCTGTACTGCGCGACTGGTACGACAGCCCGCGCGTATGGATGGCAAACGGGAGGCGGATGGCACAGCAGCTGGCGTGCGGATGTAGGGCCTGTCGGACGCGTGCGTGGATCGACAGGGGCGTACGGAATGGCTCGTCGCGAACAGGGGAATCGCTGAATAGACGGTACGGGCTGAGTTCGAGCGGATGGTGCAGGGACGAACCACGAACGCGAGCTGGAGTTGTGTACGCGTGCACAGACGGAACTCGGGCTGGTTCGGGACCGCTCATACAGGGACGACGGGGAAGGCTACGGTGCGACTGGAATGGACCGAGGTGGTGCGCTTGGGCTGGAACAAGCTTGGTTTGGACGTGGCTCACCGGCGCGGGGGTCGCCGGAGGTCGGGTCACCGGAAGAGATGGAGCTCGCCGGATTTTGTGGAATGAAGGTTGACGAAGATGGTGTTGGGCTAGGGTTTTGGATGGAGTGGAAATGGAAATTTTTATAGTGGAGAGAAGAAAAGTAGGGTTTTCATGGACTTGGGGCTCAATTTATGGGCTTAGAATCGGCTATGTAATCAGGCTAGGACTTATTCAATTGGGCTTTGACCGAATATTTACTCAATTAATTGTGCAGTCAATTTAAATCGATCGAGACTTGGACTAAATAAATTAGTCGGTCGATTTCTATAAAATATTTGGGCTCGATTTTAAAATGGGCTGAAAATAGCTACTTGGGCCAAAATTAATAAATGGGCAGCTAGAATACTAAAATGGGCCAGAATGATTACGACTCGCTAGAAAATGATTTGGGTCGATGCTCGGCTCGTCCGGGCTTCGAACCGACTTAATAAACTTTGATTATTCCAAGGCTCGGTTTTAATTTTTAAAATAAGACCAATACTTGGCTAGATAAATCTGATTTTACTAAATAAAAGGGAAAATTACGCTTTACCTACCGAACTATTCGCGTTTTTACACTTTGCCCACTCAACTTTTTCCGGTGACACTTTACCCCTTGAACATCAAATATTCTTGCACTTAACGACTTTCGGCCACCGGAGATGCAAAATTAAGAGCAAAATCGTCATTTACACCTTAGGAGACACCTCAAATTAGTCTTCACGAGTACACTTTGCCTACCGAACTATTCGCATTTTTACACTTTGCCCTTGATTTTGCATCTCCGGTGGCTAGAAGTCGTTAAGTGCAAAAATATTTGAAGTCCAAGGGGTAAAGTGTCACCAAAAAAAGTTGAGTGGGCAAAATGTAAAAACGTGAATAGTTCGGTAGGCAAAGTGTAATTTTCCCTAATTAAAAATAGAATAAATTCTCCATGGCTTAGATAGCCATCGGCAACTATCTGGCCGACCGACCACATCTCGACACCCAAGGACTCATTTATAATTCTACAACGTCTAAAGTTGTTTAATGGTATTAAGGTTCGGACGATTAAATCTCGGCTCTAAAATTTACCCGGTTATCAGAACCAAATAAAACCTAACTCATTTGAAGCCGATATTTAAAACTCACGTTCTATGTGATTTATTAGGATTTTAGATCCAATAACTGCCGCTAAAATCACAACCGGCTATTTTCTAAAA